TTGTGGTATCTTTGCCTGGCTTCAGTATCAGTCTGACACCAATATATTTTAAGCTCAGTGTTTACTGTGCTGACATGACTAATCAAGATTTAATAAAACACTTTTAGTAGTTTGTAATTTATTTCTTGAGGAGCCCTGATGTTGTAGTGAGGTGCTGAGCTGCTTACTGAAAGGTCAGCAGTTTGAACCCACTGGCTACTCCATGGGAGAAAGATGTGGTATAATGCTTCTGTAAAGGTTTATAGCCTTGAGAATCCTATGGGCAGTTCTACTCTGTCCTATAGGGTCACTATGAGTCAGAACCAACCTGATGGCAACATGTCTTTTTGTTTTGTTTACTTCTTAAAGCAATGCTAAAGGGATTGATAATTTTGTTGTTGATGAAGAGAAATAATTGTGCTTTTCTTGATGACTCAGTTTTGTAGTGATACACCTGCCCCTTTATGAATATGGTTTACAGTCCACAAAGATAATGTTCTGTGTTCCTATTTTGGTGAGTAGCAACTGGGGTCTTAAAAGCTTGTGAGCAGCCATCTAAGATGCAGCTATTGGTCTGTCCCCATCTGGAGCAAAGAAGAGTGAAGAAAATCAAGACTCAAGGAAAAAAATGATGCAAAGGACTAGTGGACCACCACAGTCTGCCCTGAGGCCCTAAGAACTAGATGGTACCTGACTACCACTACCAGTTGCTTTAAGTGGGATCACAGTAGAAGATCCTGGACAGAGTGGGAGAAAAAAATACAAAGAACAAAATTCAAAACCACAAAAAAGTCCAAACTTACTGGTGAACCCCCAAGACTGTGGCCCCAAGATTACCTTTAAGCTTGGAACTGAACTCACCCCTGAGGATCAACTTTTACCCAAATAATAGGCCTACAAAGTAAACAATAACACCAGGTAGGAATATACTCCTCAGAACAATCCACCATATGAGACCAAGAGGGCAGCATTTGCCCACTAACAAAGCTTAGAAGGAGAAAAGGACAGACTTAAATGAGGAAAATGGACAAAGTGGGAAAAGTGGTGTCACATTGTGGGGATTGCAACCAGTGTCACAAAACAAAATGTCTATATATTGCTGATTGTAAAACTAATGTGCTTTTTACAATTGCACCCAAACCACAATGAAACGATTAAAAAAAAAAAAGTAAACTTGTTCCATGGTTTCTTTTCGTTATGTATCGCTTCTCATTAGCCAAGATTAATTCCTTGGATCCAGTGTGAAACAGTAGAAACTTGAACAAATTTATAAGGTTAAGAATCTTTAAATTTATGCTAAGCTTTAGCCCAAGGATGGCACTCTACTTCTTATAGCTTTGTGCAAACATTTTTCTTGGTATTTAAAACTCTTCATTAATGGATTTGTGTTTATGTTTCATATGGTTGCTGATGCAACTATATCCAGCCTCTTTGTTCATGGAATGTTACTGAACAAGTAAGTTGTGGACCCTTTGAACATGTATTGTCTGCTTACCATATTGTTAAGTCTTATAAAAAGTATAGATTAAGTTACTTGTCTTTGCCAACCTAGAAAATAATGACTTCACAAAGAGCGTCAGGTGTTTTAAGTTTCTTTCTTGGGGCAGTGTTAATTCCTTTTATAAATACCATTAGTAAACATCTCTGTATTATAAAGGAAGTATCCTGTAACTAAAAGCAAACCTAGAAAGGTATTTTTCTGAATTTTTTTCTCCCACCTGGGAGCCTACGTTCTATCTCTAATAATGCCTTTCATTAAACATTTCATTAAAACATTAATGTTTTAAGTATGTCCCAAATACTGAGACACACATTAATGGTAATTTATTCTGTGGCTTGAAGTTTTTAGTTTGGCAGCACAGTAAGTTTTTAAATAAGGTAAGAGTTCTACTTTCTGGGTATTTTTCAGATGCTATTAAAATTGATTTACCTTCATGTGTAAAGGTTGGTTATTGTGTTCCCTTTTTACCTGTAATTCTCAACCATTTCTCTCTCCATTCCTTGAAGAAAGAAACTATTTCACCTTTCTCCTTAGCGATCTCATACAGAGTATCTGCTTTTGCTTGTTTCATGGTTTAGTTCAGGAGTCAGCAAACTACCACCCACGGACCATATTTAGCCCACTACCTATTTTTGTATGGCCCGTGAGCTAAAAATTTTTATAGTTTCAGTGGCTGAAACAAGAATTGAGTAAGATTTTGTGATGTAAAATATGAAATTCACTGACTATAAAGCTTTATTAGAACATAGCCATGATTCTTTATACACTGTGTAAGGCTGCTTTCTTGCTACAATGAGATGAGTAGTTGGAACAGACCATATGGCCTGCAAATCCTAAAATGGCCCTTTACAGGAAGATTTTGCTGACTCCTGGCTTAGCTGATTCTTTGCACATGGTGCCACCTTCTTTTACTTTCCCCTTTGAGAGGATAGCATACTGAGATAATACCAGCTTTTCTAGAACTACAAAATAGTTGAAATTTAGATCCTTCTGGGTAATAATTTCTGGGGAGCTTTGGTGGCATAGTGCCTAAGGCATTTGACTGCTAATCAGAAGGCTAGCGGTTCAAACCCACCAGCCACTTGTCAGAAGGAAGATTGGGCAGTCTACTCCCATAGAGAGATTGCCTTGGAAACCCAGGGAGGAGTCAGTATGAGTCGGAACCAACCCGAGAGCAGTGAGTTTGGTCTGGTTGGCTGGTTTCTGAGAGATGCAAACTTTCTCTTACTTTGAATCTGGATTACAGATTCCAATTAGTTTACATCTCTCAAATTAGGAATATGTCATCAAGCCCAGAACATTCAGTTTCCCGTATTAACTGTCTTTCTCAGTCTTTTTCAGATACCCAAAATACTAATACGTAACAATTAAAAGACAGTAAAATGTTTGTACTCGGTCATTTTTTATATCTAGCCTAAATTTATAGCTTCAAATGTCTACTATTAAAGCTGTATTAATTTATGGTGTTGTGGCGGAAACTTTGTCCTATTATCTTCACAAGGGCAAACTAGACAAAAATGCTATGTTTAAGTAATCTTTTCAAAGTATTAGCAGTGAAGGATCACTTTCTTATTAGATAATTTTAAAACAACTACTATTTTACATTTCTCCCAGAGTTGGAAGTGAGGGCTGTATAAAGCAGGGACAGTTATCCTGTTTTAGTTTTATATCTTACCACTTGAGAGTTCTTGTAAGTACTGCCACCTTTGCTTCTTTGGCATTCCTAAGTACCCTGGCAAGGTGCTAATTTAATTTTTCAAACCAGGACACTTCTAAGAATGAAAAATCAAACAAAACCAAACTGCTGCCATCAAGTTGATTCCGACCCATAGTGACCCTATAGCACAGTTGAACTATCCCTTAGGGTTTTCATGCTGTAATCTTTATGGGATCAGATTGCCACATTTTTCTTCCATAGAGCAGTGCATGGTTCAAACTGATGACCTTTCAGTTAGCTGCTGAGCACAACCATTGCACCACCAGGGCTCCTTTCTAAGAGTGAAAGGGCACTGATTCCGAGTTGCCAATAAAGGGAGCCATCCTGTCCTGATCAAACCAGGATGTATGGTCCGTATAACTTTAGGAAGAAGCTACTTAAGAAAATTATGATTTGGGTGAAAAGTTTACAGTGCAGATTGGTCTTCCATTTAACAATTCACCTGGCTTTGTGAGACTGATTGCAATCATTACAATGTAACAACACTCTCATTTCCTGTTTACTGTTTCCATTCTCTTTCTTTCCTGTCCCTTCCTGCCTTCCAGGCTTCATCCCAAGGCAAATACTATCCTTTTGATCTTGTGTGGTGGATTGTTCTAAGGTGTGCATACCTCCCAGATGTTAATTTGCCTTGTAGGCCTGTCTGCTGTTTGGCTGAAAGTTGAGCCATGGGGTTGAGTTCAGGGTTTCTGTTTTAAAAATATGCCACTTCTGATTCATCAGCAGCAGACAAGGCAGAAGATGAACTTAAGCTAGATAAATAGCTGTCAAAACTCTGGTTCTTTCTGAACATAAACATGAAGTGGCATCAATAACTATTTCAGTAACTAGTATTACTTCCCTTCATAATTTAGAAGCACATCTAGGCATTTACCTTGGTCATAATGGGGCCATATTCAATTACATAAATATGTAGATCAAAAGCTTTCTATTTTCTTACTTTAAATACTGAATACATACAACACATTATTCAAGAGTCAGGAAGAAAGATGAGGTCCAAAATAGTTTATTTACACATGGGTAATAAAGACATTAAAACTTAAATAATGAATAATGAAATTCTGGGTTAATGAGAAGTCCGTGATTCATTCATCAAGCCTATTTTATGGAAGCAATATAAAACTGCATTTTGTAGTTTTTCTCAGTTATCTGGTATTCTTGAAGCTGGTTCAGAACACTTTAATGATAGCTTGTTGAATGGCAAAAACAGTGAGACAATGTATTTACATGTCAGTCTCTCACAAAAAAGACATTATATCCAAGTTCTGTCAAAGCCCCAGCCAGTAAGGCCCATAAAGGAATAAAGACATAGGACAGATTCATGGTAGTAAACTGTTCCAGTTTAGCACAGAGTGCAAGGCAGAAGGCTAATTTCAGTAACATTGCAATGAGGTACCAGGCTTTTTTTTTAATATTGTGTGATCCATGTCGAGGGTCAAAGCCAGACTTACACCGTCCAGCCATTTTCACAATCAGAATGACAAGAAGGATAGTATCAAATATCCAGACTGGAATAAATATGAGGAACCAGTTCCAAGGTGCCTTCTCATCCAGTTTCAACACCAACATGATCAAGAACAGCAATGTGAAAAGCCAGGTGAGTAGTACTCTCTGGGCCAAGGACATTCTCATTTAAACAGTTTAAAGAGGCTGTTGCAGAGTTGAAAAACAGGAAACAAACCCTAAGAGAGAGAGAAAAAGTGAAAAATAATCTTGACACCAGAAAAAATAAACCACTTCCTAGTGAACAAAGCTTGCTTTCCCACTCTGAGATTTCCTAATTCTGAAAACATTTTACCATTCTTCCTTTCATAAAGCTCTAAAATGTATAGCCATCTCTGACAACATTATATCCATGATGCTCTTATTAAAAAAAAAAAACACCAAACACAGCGGATCTGACTCATAGCGACCCCTCCTTGGGTTTCCGAGGCAGTATCACTACGGAAGTAGATTGCCCAACCTTCCTTCCAAGGAGTGTCTGGTGGGTTTGAACTGTCAGCCTTCTGTTTAGCAGTCAAATGCCTTAGGCACTATGCCACCAGAGCTGCTTGACCCTCTTATATAGCCAATGACAAAATACAACAATTTTTAATTCAAAAACTCAGTAACAATCTGTTCCTTTCCATTGCTGTTTCTCAAGTCCAGGTATTCATTTACTTTATTACACTTTAGGGATGTTCTTAACTTACCTCCCTGCATATGATTTTCCATTCAGTTTCAGGGCATACTAAGAAAAAGCATTCAAAATGGAAGTAGTGAAAAAGGAGGTAGTATCAAGCCAAGAAAAGAGAGTTTTAATAAGGAGGAAATGATTAATGAAACTTGCAAGGACATCAAAGTAAAATTAAGATTGTAAAGAGGTAACTGGGAGCTCTGGTGGCATAGTGTCCAAGGCAGTTGACTGCTAACCAGAAGGCTGGCGGATCAAACCCACCAGCCCTTCCTTGGAAGGAACATGGGGAATCTATTTCTGTAGTGATACCACCTCAGAGGAAACCCAAGGACGGGCAGCTATGAGTTGCAATTGATTCAACGGCAGTGAGTTTGGTTTTATTTCTTTTTTTAAAAGAGGTAATGGACTAAATAATATAAAGGGCATTGATATTACTGTATTTTCACACTTTAATACTATGGGTCTTATTTTTTAAAATTCTAATTTTCCCATTAAAATTCTTAAAGATATCCTAAGATTTCTTCTTTTTAATAAGTAATCTCTCAGTGTAACATTTTCATTTGTAGTATATATCATGATATACAACCAGTAATCAAGACCACTTAATTTCTGATGTCGTTTTGTGATGATTAAGTAGTAAATTATTCTACAGTTGGGTCTATTTCTTATATGCCTATATCTGTTTTATTGATTTGTATTTCATACTAGTACTTTATAACTGTTATTGTTGCTCTAGGATATGTTCTGGTATCTGGAAGACCTAGTACCTACTCACTCTTCCAAAATATTTTCTACTGTTTTGCCCTTTCATTTTCTTAATGCTAAAATTGCCATTTAAAATAAAAAAAAAAAAGTTTGGAATTTCAATTGGGAATGCATTAAATCTAAAACTTACTTAGGTTAAACACTTCTTATATTTAATCTTCACATACACTATGTTTCTCCATTTACTCAAGATTTTTATACCAACCTTGTAACTCTTTAGAAAAAGGTTAAGTAGAAACAGAAATAGGAAGACAGAGTGCATGCAGTTGAGTGAGGAGTTAACAGAAGATAAAGAAATGGAAACAGCTGAGGACATGTTATTCCCTGGAGGCATGGGAGAAGATGAAACATGAGATTGGAAAAGGAACAAGAGAAGGAATATTCAGGGAGGGAGGGACAGAACTATGGTTATAAATTGAGAGAAATAAGCCACTGGGAAGTGATAAACTGAAAATAAGAGGATATTTGAAGGCAAGAGGGAAATATCAGAAGGTGGTAGATGGGAACAAAAGCACAGGTGGAGGACACAACCCTTTGCATAGAAGATGCAGGATAAGAAAAGGTGAAGAAACTGGAAATAACATTAACAATGACTACACCTGTTGTGGAGACAATACCTACTCTTAGAGCTGCTCCAGGACAGAATAATGCCCCACAAGATTTCCAAGGCTGTAATCTTTATGGAAGCAGACTGCCACATCTTTCTCCCACAGAAAGGCTGGCTACTGATCATTGGTTAGTAGCTGAGCACTAAACTAGTGCCACCAGGGCTCCTCTGTTAAGGACTAGGTAAGCCAAATGAACCAGGCTAGTGTGCTCAATTGATTCTATTTTAGACTAACTTTGATGTTCTCTGCTATTCTTTACTACTTTAAAGAGCAGGTGACTATCATGTAATGTAAGAGTGTGTATGCTTTATTTCAATACATGTATGAGTCCACAGATCAAATGAGACTACGAACTCAGCTCTTCCTCCTTATACCCATCTACTTGCACTCAGTTTATTTACTTAGTTGGAAGACGCTGCACACTGCAGTGCTTCTGCTCCCAGGAAGGGATTTTCTGGGCTGGTTTCCTTTCCTGCCCAGAGGGCATATTTGAGATTTACCAGGGAGGTTGCCATATTGGGCACATAGGTTGCCATATAGGGCAGAACCGGGAAAGGGGGGTGCAGGAGTGTGTGCTGGTTAATTTACATTTCACTTGTAAATTAAGTTGGCTCAGTCGTGATCTCCACTCTCTCTGGTCTTGTTTTTGTGAATCTGTTTTTTAAAAAAAGGCTTATGATAATACTCCTTGCTTAAATGTAACTTTTCCACCTGGCAATAGGATGAGTCAAGTTTCAATTTTTCTCATGTAAGAGTAGAGGTGGTCAGAGAAAGGGTGGCTGCATTCACCACAGGTACCTAGGGCAGGTGATGAAAGGATATAAAGAACAGTCTTACTGTGACTACAAACTTGATGCAACAAAGTTTTGTATGTACATAGCCTACCTAGAGCTCTCACAGAGCACCCTGCTGACATTGGAATGTCGCTTGACATTGGATGCTGGGCTACAAAGAATACCATCCTCCAAACCTAATTGTAGTGTCAGCAGAATGCTCCCGTTTTCCACTTACATCTCCATTAAGTAATCCTATTCATTTCCTCTTGCTCTCCTCAAAGGGGTGACATAGTCCAAAATAAAAATTAGCTCAACGAAATTATTTCCCCTCCAAGGTTGTTATTTCTGCAAAACAGTTGTCTGTTCACAGGCTTCGGAACTGTCCTCGTGAAAATCTAAAGGACCCTGCCCACATCACCTACAGCTCACTATCAGCCAGCTATGTGTTGACTCATGAATTCGTCTACTGTGCTTCCGAAGCCACCCGCATCTCCCTTCTCCTGCTACGGCCGGTACTCTTCCAAGTGAACGCTTGTCTCACCCCAGAGTTTTACTTAACGAGCCCACAACGCAAAATTCCTCTTCATAATGAAGCCGTTTCAGAACGCCAGTGCTGCAACAGCCTTCCCCAACTTAAGCATCCTTCACAGGAACAGCGTTCTGCTTACAACTTATCCAATTCGGGCCTACTCGTCCCCTAGGACTTCAAGACACTTCTAAACGGTTCTCGTCCTTCGTCTGCAAACGCCGCTTGTCCGCTCGCGACAGACTTCCCCCATTCTGAGCTGTGGCCCGGCCATTTTTGCGGTTGAATGCGGTTCTTGCACTATACTGTCCACAGGGCACAGAGAAGCCCTGTTACCAAGGTGTGTGCGTGTCTTAGGCCCGGAGTAGGAGGTGGTGGTGGGGCGGCGGCACAGCCCACCTGAGCAACGGGAGGTCAGCTCAGGGCCCCGTAGGGGAGACCACTTCGGAGAGATGCCGCCCGTCGAAGCCCCAGACTCACCTAACAGAGACACTCGCCAGAGAGCGCCGAGAGACGCGAGGATCTGGAGATTCGCCAGTTCGGATCCTTGGCCTTTTTCACACTTTTTCCCCCATTAAATCCAGAACTCGTCACATGATATAACTAAGACAACGACTCGGTTCCGTCTCTCCAAACGACCGCTGTAGATAGTCACTCAGGTCTACTTCAGGGCCGCGCCCACATCCGGGGCAGGTTCTCCCCGCCCCTCATCCTATCGTATAGGTAGAGAGGATGCCAATCTACGTTTAGAGACCTCTTTTCCTGCGGTAATTGGACCATTTCGTCGCCAGTGCAAACCAACCAACCATTCCTGACATTCGGGTTCTACAAAAAGGCGGCAATAAAAGAACCACCACCACCCCCCGAGCCCGCCTCTTGATGGCCATTGGTTAGTAGGAAAGTCAGTCTAAAAATCAGTCTGGCTTTTCCCTGGTCCCATTGGGTCTGCAGATGCCAGTAAAACGAACCAGCGCTCGACTCCACGCCCCGCGGGCGCAACGCGCCTCCTCGCCCTCTTCGCCAGCGGGAGGAGACTGCAGGCTCCAGCGTAAAATCCTGCGGGAGAGGGGGTGGGACCACGGCTCTGGAGGCAGCGCGCCCGCCGGTAGCGTCGTGTGGCTCTTCTGACTCCCGCGGCAAAGGCGGCGCTCGCTTCGGTGTCTTTCTCTCGCGCGCACCCGGCCGCCTTCTAGCGGCGCGGCGCCCGCTCCTAAGGTAAGAGCTGCATCACCTCCGCGCTTGGGCGGGAGGTGTAGAGGTCGTTGGGTTCTGACAGAATCCGCAGGATGGACAGACAGGACAAGGGAGAACAGCCGGCGGGATGGAGGTGGGAGCATCGAGGCCAACGGATCGCTCTCCGTCGCGGTTGACTTCCCTGGCACACACCGGCACCTGCTGGTAGGGGCCAGGATCAGCCGCGGCCCCCTCCCATACTTTTGGCCAGCGGCGGAGACTCAGCCTCCCTCCTCCCGAGTGCGCGCTGTTCTCGAGCCTAGAGAGTGACCGACTGAAGCCCAGCGCCGCCGCCCGTAGTGCCGCCGCCGCCCCCGCCCCTCTGCACCCTCCCTCGGCCCCTCTCCTTCTCTTCCTTCCTTTAGCGCTGTGCTGTGGGGCTCAGGGCCCGGGAAGGCGTGCAGAGGGTCGGCGGCCGAGCCTGGGCCGGCGGGGAGAGGTCAGCTAGCGGCCGGAGCAGCGGGCTTGGGAAGAGGGGGACTGGTTCGCGCGCCGGACGCTGGCTGGGAGGGGGGTCGCTGCCCTCCACCGGCGGATCAGGCAACAGTTTATAGTTTTCTGATTTCCAACCTTGACTGTGAAGGGGATGCTGAAATCCTATGCACTGGCCTTAAGCGATATTTGTAGTCTGGAAAGAGTGTCGCGGTCCATCAGCCTGCTTCTTCATCTTTATTTATCTTCCTTATATTGACAGCCAGCTTTCTGGTATTGTTCTTTTCGGGTCTTGGCTTTCTAACTCAACACCTCCTTGTATAACTTTAAGGAGCTTTTTGTCACGAATATATCTCTTTATTTTTAGCCTGGCAAAAAAACAAAGAGCTGCTTTATATTAACAAAAACCGACTAGGGAAGTACAGAATCTGGAACCATTTATTAATCTCAGTGTGTACTTTATATACCAAGTAATTTTTAAATTTATGGTGAATGCATTGAATGTTTTGGAATTTACACTTGTTCTCTTTTGTTAATGGTGTATTCTCCTTACTTTGAAGTTATTTTGTTATGTGTGCAACTTTGATTTTACAGTGTTTTCTTTGGTTTGGCCAACCAGACATTTTTAAATCTCTACCCCACCCTACTCCCGAAACTTTGGCTATAGACTTAGTATTTGGTCTTAATTTTAAGGGTTATATAATTTTTAAAGTTTGTTTTCTCCAAAACTGTGGACTTCGTTATAACATATTTTAATGTTGGGAGAATTTTGGAGAATTTGGAAACTATTCATTTTAGCCTAAAGAGCCATAAAATAGCATAACAATTTGAAATTCTGACACTTTGGAGTAAGAGCTGCTAAGTTTTTGAGAAGGAAATGGGTTTCTCCTGTCAGTTGTTGTGGCTCAGCCTCAAGATTCCAGAAGGAAAGAATCTGAAGGTCTGGGGAGAATGAGTTATGTCTGGAACCAGAAACAAGGTAGTTCCAGGAAAATTTCTTGCTCAGGAAATATCCTGCTTTCCACACAGGTCGGTTGTCTGCATGCATCAGACGCCATTAAGAAGGTATTAGTAAGTTTGGGCATGTTGCATTCTCAATTTTACCACTTTCTGGTAGAGCACAGATGTGTAAGCCAATCAAGCATAGTGTACAGTAGAGATGTACTTATATAGTCCGTCCTCCAAGGGGTAGAGTTCTTTCGAGCCCAAACTGGCACTGGGAAGTTGACTAAAAATGAAGAAGGTGGCTTGAGCAAGTTTTAAACTAGAAACTTTCTGGCTAGTCCATTTTAATGAAAAATCACAATGAGTTTGTAATGGAAAAAGGTCTCACAAGATGGAGCCAAAGGGAATTCAGGGTGGCATATGAAAGAAATGAGGACCAGAAAGAATTGCATTGCATATATATTATCTCAGGAGCTCTGGTAGCATAGTGGCTAAGGCACTTGGCTGCTAACCAGAAGGCTGGCGGTTCAAACCCACCAGCCACTCCTCGGAAGGAAGGTTGGCAAACCTACTTCCATAGTGATACTGCCTCGGAAACCCAAGGAGGGGTCGCTATGAGTTGGGGCTGACTCGACGGCACATAACAACAACAACAACATATATTATCTCATTTAATTGTTACAATCCTGTGAGGTAGGTACTGTGATGACTGTCCTCCTCATTTTATAGATGAGTTAGGTTAACTCATTTGCCCAAGATTTCTCAGCAGTGAAGTTGGTGCATGTGGGATTCATACCCATTCCAAATCATTATGCTCTACCACCACGGTAAAATTGGCTCCTTGGAGACTTGTTACCAAGCCGAAAACCAAACTCACTGCCACCAAGTTGATTCCATATCATAGCGATCCCTATAGGGTTTCCAAGGCAGTATATCTTTACAGAAGCAGACTGCCTTACCTTTCTTCCACAGAGCAGCTGGTGATTTCGAACCACTGACCTTTTGGTTAACAGCCAAATGCCTTAACCACTACACTTACCAGAGCTCTTTAGAGACTTGTTAGGAGGAGACTAATCCGTGGGAAATAATGCTGCAAAGCCATAACTGAATAGGGGGTTCAGTGTATGTATTCAGTACCATACTGAGATCGTTGTATACAAGGTGCTGTGTTTAGTGTTGCTGGGGATATTGGGATGGAGCATCTGATGGAGCAATGCTATCATTGAAGAGCATCTGTTTAATGGGAGAGATGGCTATTTGAACAAATGATGCTACTACCACATGAACAGTAAGAGAGTGCTATAGAGAATGTGCTTTCATGAAGAGTTCATTTAGTTTATACAGACCAGAGTTCGAATTCCTGTTCTGCTTTGTGACCTTGGACACGATACCACATCTCTTTCAGCTTCCGTTTCCTTGTCTGTTAAGTGGAGAGGATAAAGCTTCAGAGAGGAGTACTGAACATTAAGTAAGTGATATGTAAAGTACTGACATATGTAAGCGCAGACTGTAGAGGAAAGAATAATTTTGCTTAAGAGAGACAGTGGAGAAGGGGTTGAGAGGTTGAGAGGTGGTGCCACTGAAGCTTTAAAGGATGAGTGGTAGTTTCCCAGGATAAGTGAGAGGGGCATTCCACAAAGATGTAACACAATAGAAGGCAGGGTCTCAGGACAGGAATATGGATTGTTGAGAGAATGGCAAGTAATTGAGGAAAGTATCTGTGAAAGCTAATTTAAAATGGTAATCATGTAAATGTGTCTGGCTGGAGTGAGATGATACTCAGTTTTGGTTGTTGAAAATTGCGTACTTAAAAAATAAAATTATAGGAAAACCTCAACAATTTGTGCATTGTGATATTTTTATTTATTATTTACCTTCTAATACTTAAGGAACTTTGGTGGCGGTGTGATTAAGGCATTGGGCTGCTAACCGAAAGGTTGGCAGTTCAAAACCACTAGCCGCTCCATGGAAGAAAGACAAGACAACCTGCTTCTATAAAGATTTACAGCCTGGGAAACAGTATAGGGGTTGCTATGAGTCAGAGTCACCTTGATGGCAGTGAGTTTGGTTTTGGTTTTTCTGATACTATTTTCCCTTGTGCCAGTTGAAACTCCTTTCCAACACATATTTTATTTTTTCATTTAGATGGCTCACTTTAAGTTGTAAATGAAGACTAACACTAAAGGTATCTGCACCTAATTTGTGGACTATTTTGGGGAATTATTTAAAAAAGAAGAGCCTCAACATGACCATTGCCTGTTCTGCCTCCCCTTAACCTCTTTGCCTATCTGTCGCTTCATAGAGTCAGTTTTGCCAACAGCCCTTTATATATGTTGATTGTCTTTTCTGAATCTAAACTTTAATTTGACAATGGGACAGTGTTTTAAGTCACTGCTGTCCTTAAAAATCTGAAAGCAAGTCTCAAGTTTTTATCTTCCTCTCAGGTTAGCACAGAATCAAAATAATCACATTGAATTTATAAATCTGGAACATCACTTGATGACCAGAATCATATGACTAAGTTGAAGATAGATATTAAATAGCATCTAGGAAAGCTGCATTTTTAGCCCAGCTTGTTAGCCTCATATAAATTGCTAAAGTGCACATGATACAGAGGTGAGTTTTCAGATGAAGAAAAGAACAAGAAAAAAAAAAAAAAAGATTACTTCCTAGAATAGGTAGTTTCTAGAGCACTAGGAAAGAAAATATGCTGGACTTCATTCTGAGTAGTGAACAGGAACTGGGACAGGAAATGGCTGTGGCTGAACCACTACCTGATAATAATCATAACATGATTAAATTTGACATTTAATGAGAGGAAGTAAGGGGAAAAAAGTGCACATAATGCATCTTTCCAATTTCAGAAACAGTAGGGGAAAGAGGCTGTTAAAAGTTTGTATACAGGAGTTCTGAGGATACTTAGTAATCACTCATATATTCAATGAAGCATTATAATAAAAATTTTGATAAAAAGTACACTACAGATAGCTAAACACTAGTAAAAGTTACATAGTATAAGTTTTGGTTCTCTGTAGACCGTGGTTCAGATCCCAGTTCTGCCATCTAACAGATGTGTGATTTTGGGCTAAGGATGTGACTTTTCTGAGGTTTCAGTTTTGCTTATTCATAAAAGGAAGGTGCTCTGGTGGTGCAGTGCCTGAGGCATTTGACTGCTAACCAGAAGGTTGGCAGTTCAAACCCACCAGTCACTCTGTGGAAGGAAGATAGGGCAATGTATTTCCATAAAGGTTTACTTACTGCCTTGGAAACCCAATGGAGGTTGCTATGAGTCGGAATCGACTCCATGGTGGTGGTTTTGGGATTTTATTTATTTTTTTTTTTTTCATAAAATGATAATACAGTTGTCCCTTAGTATTTATTGGGAGTTGATTCCAGGAACCCTCAGCTATCAAAATCTATGAATGCTCAAATCCCTTATATAAAATGGCATAGTATTTGCATATAACTTACACACATCTTCCCCCCCCCCCAAAAAAAACAACAAAACCTCACTGTATTGAGTCAAATCTGACTCATAGTGACCGCTCCTTGCGTTTTCAAGGAGATACCTCTATGGAAGTAGATTGCCCAGTCTTCCTTCCAAG